TCATTTACAATTTGGTTAAATTGTAATGGTAATCTGATCTTACCATAATATCACTTTGTTAACATTCAAAGGTGTTGTCGTTCATTATTGGTTGTTGTACATCTTTAAAGATGCATGGAATGGGAGGAGTACTGATTACATGGCTAACATTTATAGAATAATTTTTTTTATAAGAGGCTATTCACATATTTGAAGAGAATAGAAAGAATTCAGAGCTTCTGCAAACTGCATTCAGAAATTTTGCTATTATGTGAATAATACAACATTTGGAATATAAACCAATGCTAACAGAAAACATTTCTACTTCCCTAATTCTCATAAAGATTTTCAGCAGTAAATACCCGCAATAATATTGGGAAACTAATTATATGTAAACTTTTAGCACACTTAGAAATGTCTATTCAAAGTAGGCAGGACTATATATCTACTAATTGTTCTGGAAAAGAGAAAGGTATGTTGTTTCTTTCAATATCTCTATGCTCAAATGGCTTGTATCCGTCATGATCTATGTCATCCATATTAAAAAAAAGAAGAGTAACAAGTGAAAGGGTTCCACATTACATTCACAGAGTTTGACTTTTTCTCTCATATTGATGTGGTACAGAAATTAAAGTTTCTCCACAAAGCCATTCTTAAATCTCATAAACTATCTATCTCAATAAATTTAGCAATGCTACTACAAGTATATGGTTAACAACAGGTTTACTATGGATTATTTGCTTTTTACAAGGTTTTAGACATATGCTTATCACCTAATAAATCTGTTTCCCTTTTACAATAGCTAAGTGGTACGAGACTGAACAGATTGGCAGTTCTAGAACATGGCTCTCCTGAGTTTGATTCAAATAGTGACATATCTGTTGTTTTATGTTTTTTGAAATTAAGGAACACCTTGCACACACAAACTGGATGTCTGCCATAGACATACATGATTTTGTGAGATTGAATAATCATCTATAACTTAATCCAGTGCATATTTTACCCTACTGCTTTTCTTTACAACTTTTAGCACATATTACACTTTATTCATAGGCACTTTCTTTTGAGCTTGCACATGAAAATTACCTTCCATGTCTTCTAGAACTTGGAAAATGTTCACCAATAGTACGGTCTTCCAAAATGTGGCCTAAAATATGGTGCCAGAGAAAGTATGTTACATTATTGCAAATTAGACATTTAAATTATCAACTTGAGTGAACTTTAGAAACATCTCTGTTCAATCACCTTATTCTTCCTCATTCTCAACTGAAATTACAAAAACAAACACCAATAACAAAGAAACAGATGTGCCTACATTTCAAAAGCTAAAAAAAAAACAAAAAAACAAAAAAACACTGTATTACCTATAGCTGTGAGATTCCTATAGGTCTCCAACATCACATCTTTGTAGAGACTCTTCTGAGAAGGATCCAGCAAAGCCCACTCTTCCAGAGTGAAGTTCACATGCACGTCATCAAAGGTCACTACATCCTAAAAGTTCCAGTATATATGTACATAAGAAAGCATGATTCCAACCACAGTGAACATGTGTACTTCAAAAAGAATGCTTACTAACTTCCCTGCCCAGCCACATAGCACTTTTTATCCAATAAGCAAACAGTAATTCACAGTCGAATAAAAACAACAACTGAAGTAAATGTTAAAGCAAATGAATGATCTCTGGGATCCTGATGCATCTGTATTAAGATGTTGGGTATGAGATCATGTAGCATCTTGCCAGACCTTCCTCACTTTCTGTTCCCTGAGACCCAGTACCCAAGGGTGCCCTTAGGACTGCAGTTTCTTCTCACCTGTCCAGCCCTCCTGTAGATACAAAAGACCATTTGCATCTTCCTTTCCCTTCTTACCCCATTTCTGTGTCTGAGCTCTGAACTATGGACAGAAACCCCCTACTTAACCACAGGCCAGTCCTCCAGAAGACTAAGTAGGCTGTCCAAAGACTCATCCCACTATCATGTTTCCCAACACCAAATTCTCACTGCTGCCCAATGCTCTGAAACACAATATCAGAGAAACCTTCCTTTGCCCATTTCCATGCGACATGTTTTCAAGTTCTCTTCCAAACAACTGAGGGAACTATACCAGGAAAAATGTGAACTTGACCAATGTTACCTATATTTGTATACAAATAAAATAAAAACAGATTTCATGACTCCGACAAAAATAACTGAAGTGACACCTAAAATGTTATATTTCTGACCTTTCAGTCACTACCTGTCTGTCTTCCAAACAGAAATGCCTGATGGTATAGAGTTCTGTCAACAAAGGTAGGTGATCAGAAAGGTGCTCTATGGCACTATAGCTCTTCATGTGCCCTAGTGATTTCAGGCAAAACTAGCAACATTCAAGTCTAACAAAACACAGTATTGAATAATGATTTAATATCTGCTTCCTGCCACATGGATTCTTATAAGATGTGATATCTGTCCTATGTAGCTATCCAGCACCATACACACCTGAGGAACTTCTAAATCTGACATGCTCCTTTAATAACCAAGAATTGAATTTCTGTGTATTGTGCCATTAGTACTGGAGGTAACAGAATGGCTAGAGAATTCTAGTTAATGGTTCTGAAGTATGATCCCTATCACCTCTTTTACTAATTTCTAAATTATGTATAAAATTAGTCACACAAAACTGAATATAGAAGGTTCACAAATTATAGAAATCAAACCTCCACTTTTGCAATGTCATCCTACTGCACACCAAAAGCAACACCTGTGTATACACACTGGATAGTGACTTTTATGCTTCACACCTTGCCACTCAAATGGCTATAGACCCTCCCTGGGAATCCACTCTCAGATTCAAAGGATAAGGACTTCTGCTATTATCACTACATGGAGCAACAGAACCACACTCTGAACCATGGTCCCTCTTAGTACCAGTAGATCTGACTCTGATAGGTCAGTAGACTTGTTCTTCCCATCCTGGCGATAGAAATGGCCACAATCACCAGGACATGGCTTGTGGTCTTCTGCATAGCTTGTAACACACGCATCTGAGGAAAATCTTGTAAAGAACCAGCAAGCTACCTTCCACTAGTGCTCCTGATTGATAGGCCTGCCCCAGTCCCTCATTAGCTACGAAAACTTAGCTGGGCATCAGGAGAGTAAGTAGCATCTCCTCAACCTGGGGACCACAGAGCAAATTACTGTTCTGAAACAATCCAAGCTCTGCTGTTCCACCCTAAATACAGACATAACCCTAGTCTGGAAAATTTAGATTTAATGGAATAATCTATCCTCCCAGGGCACTTATTTTCCTTGTTAAAGGCACAGGAATCAATGATCAATTTCTTTACATAATCAATTACACATGCAATGTCCTGTGCAGACATCTCTGCTTCATAGTGGGGATGACCTGCAGCCAAACTGCAATCAAATTGATAGAGTATCAAAAATTAAAAAGAAAAATTGGCTGCAAATTTTAAAGCTAGGAGTGGTTAACTGAAGAGAAATGAAACAAAAAAAAAAAAGAAGAAATAAATATTATACGAAATCAATGCTCCTAGGTATGGTGGAGTAGAAAATTTATTATACACAAAAGAGAGAACATAGGGAGACCCAATTATATCTGGGAGAGTTTAGAGAAGACATGTCATTTTAGCGAGGTAGAATGGGAGAAGGAAGAACCAGACCAAGAGATCAGAATGATTAATAATAGATGAAAAAGACCAGTCCAGAAATAGTTGGATTGCAGTAGAATGGCAGCTGGGATATTGGCAGCCAAATCAATATTCTGTAACAGGTAGGAACTGCAGTCTGATGAGAGAACCAGACAGCCATGTTTGCTTTGATTTGTTAAATAGGCCTCTCAGCTCCCTGTCCCAGAGTTTCAGACTTAACACTAGGGAGAAAGGAGAAGGAAGACATGACGATTATACTCTCAAAGATTATTTTTAAGAGTTAAAACATACTTTATGGTCCAGTATTTTTGAGAAACTAAATGTATGTACCAAGTAGTACTCATATCTTTTCTCTTACATTGTGTATTTTCAAACAGGAATAATTCTATTCCTGTTAGGCACAGCCACACCAGTTTGTCTAGATCTTCTTTGTTTGAACTAATGAAAATACAGAAATTTGGTTTCTAGATATAAGTACATGTCTTCATTTAAATTCATCACTTCCCTAATATAAGAAATGTCCCAAGATTGACAGAAAGGAATTTTACTGATTATTTTCAAAATTCCTTACTTGACTAGTCATGCTGAACGCCAACTTCTGCCAAAGGGGAAAGGCCTCACCTTCCTTCTTTCTCCTCCTTTTCTGTGCTGCAATTATACCAGCTTCACAGTTGGTCAGTGAACTCAGTTCTTATACAGGTCCCTCTTTATTTGTAATCCCCTCACCCCTAATCCAGGGATGTTAGACAACACGCATTCCCTGATGTGTTGTCTCACTGATGAATCAGAAACCAGATTGAAAGGAGTTGTAGGACTGTTTTCCAAGCACTGGGTAGCAGAAGAAGGTTCAGGTGTTCAAAGTAACTCTTAAGTACATGGCACAAGGAAAGCCTGAGCTACAGGAGATGTTGCTCTAAACAGACAGATAGGAAATCTTTTAGAAAAAGGAATGACATTCTTAATTTATGGAAATACTGGAGAATGGAAACAAGTAAGAGATCAGAGCACCTATGCATTAAGAAAATGAAATTTAAAAACTAATAACAAAAATTGACTTTTTAAAAAGATAAATATAAATGAAAAAATCATATTGGCATAATGACTTTAAAAAAGAGCCGACGCTTCCTGGTAGAGGTGATGGCATTAATTTATAAGATGGTGTTTGTCCTTGCCCCTATGTGCAGTGTTATCTGCTGAGATCTATAACATGACACACAGCTACATCTAATGGCATGTGTTTTAAATTTCTGAACCAACATAAATATGTCAGCTAGGATTGCTCATATCTATATAATACCAGTCCTACTAACACAATTCATTATCCACTGGCTCAAGCTAAGCTGCCCAAATTAAACACCCATAAATCTAGTTTAATTTAATCATATGTGTTAGTATTCTGTCTAAACTCCACCTCCACAGTTATCTGGCAAAACCCAGGTATGCTCCTCCCCACAGGTACCTGGCAACAGCTAGGTAGGCCTGCCCACTATAAAAGGGGCTGCCTGCCTCCTCCTTGCTCTCTTGCCTCTAGCTTCTCTCTGTCCCCTAGTCTCCCCCCCCCCCCCCCCCGTCCCTTCCCTCTCTCTCCACGTGGTCAAGGCCAGCCTCCACTTCTCTCCCCTCTCTCTCCTCTTTCTCCACCATCTTTTCCCATTTCTTTCCCCACACCTTTGCCCTATCTCCTACATAACACTCCCCCCCCCCCACCCCCCCCTCCCCGAAACTGTTTGGTCTGGTGTTGTCTGTTCTAAGCTGTGCACCAAAATCTAACAATATGTAATATTAAATATACACTGTGAAATTATAAAATTATTCACCTGACCTGAATCCACTCCTACTCCAGAATACTGACACCTGGAGCTGACTCTCATAAACTTTGCTCTGTGATCTAGCTATTGACTGTCCTGTTTTACCTGACAGTGAGTAAAGTAAACCATACCTTCTGTTCTCATCTGAAAATGGAAGAAAGGAAAGCTCATTATTATATGATTCAAATGAGGAAATTTAAACTGTTGTTGTGGTGCATTCTTTTAATTGAAGAATTTGTGAATTTTCATCAAGCAAAAAGCAAGGTCATTGCCCTGAGGAGCAACACACAGGGATCAAGGCTATAGTGTTTGATCAAGAGATAGTGTGTGACATTTCCCCATGTGCTATGTTACCTACTGAGATCTATAATGTGACACACTCAGCTACAGCTAAAGGCATGTGTTTTACATTTCTAAGCTCATGTAAATATATCAACAAGGATAGCACATAACTAAATAATACATGTCCTAAAATGGGAATTCACTATCTACTGCCTCAAGCCAGCTTTCTCAAATTAAAAATCCACCAATGTAGTTTTATTAACCACATGCATTATTAATACATGGTATGAAATTACAAAATTGTTCACCCTGCCTGAATCAGGTCCTTTTCCAGAATGGTGACACCTGCAGTGGACTCCCTTATACTTTGGTCTGTGATCTAGCTATTTCCTGCCCTCTTTCACCTGACAGTGAAGAGAGTAAACCATTCCTCCTGTTCTCATCTGAAGGTAGAAGAAATAGGCAGGTCATTATATGACTCAAATGAGCAATTATAAAACTCACCTTTGCTTCATTACTTTAACTCAAGATCTTAGGAATTTTTATAAAGAGGAAACCAAGGTCATTAATCTGGGGAGCAACAGACCAGGATCAAGGCTACCTGAGTCAACAGAGCTTGTCTTAGAAACATCTCTATAAAAGGAAGAAGAAGCAGCTCTCACAGAATTACTATATCATCCCAGAAAGAAATCACTCCACATACAACATTAAAATATTAACAAGGAAAAAAATCTCCTAAATGACAGCATGGATGCAGCTCTGACTAATGCTCAAAGAGGAGTGAACCAAAAACAGATTTTGGATATTGACATTCATAAGTTTGTTTCTGGTTCAGGCCCCAGGTTATTTTGAACAATTTAAATATGAACTAGAGATTGTAAGTTCTACTTAAGACAGCTGTGAGATTTACACAGCAAAGATCCCCAGAATCATTGATTAAGTACATCAGAGACCTGAAAAAGCAGGTCAGTTTTCAGTGATGGGTTCCTGAGTTGGAAGTGAAGATGAGAAAGACAGGAAACGTAGAAGGTAGAATGTACAACAGCTGTGGTGGGGAGAACTTGCACAAGCTATGTCTATGTTAAGTAAGCTTCTTAAATCTAACATCTTGTATACTACTTACAGGGGATAAAGGGAACGAAATGGAGACTTCTATGAAGGCAGCAATAACTATAATACACTGGGACAAACTCAGGAGAAGTGTAATAAAACAATGTTGCACAAGGGAATCCATGACTGACCAAGCCCACAGTTGACTTGGGACTGATAACCATGTCACCCCATGCTGGAAAGTCTTGGAATCTCAGGATCTGAAGCTTGTCCTTCCCAAACACCTTGGCCTCGAAGCTTTACTGCTGCTGCCACCCTTAACCCTGGCTTAGGAGAAAGATCAACTGTTTTCTATTCAATACACCAGGGCCTTAGGTAAAGCTCCTAAAGCTTAAGGCTCCAGGCTGTTAAGGGGCTAGAATTTAGGAAGGAGATATGCAATTCTCCATACATTAGGATCAAGCCTTATTTGATTGGACCAGCCCACAACACACAGTGTTGTCCTTTTCACAGAGATGTCACCAGGTATAGTCCTACCCTTATGGCAAAACTATGCTTTTCCCAAGAAAACTGGATCTTTATGGTACACCAGGCCTTAACGTTGGCTGTGACCCTGTAATGCAGCATTGAGCAGCTTGTTAGGGGCCTGTTCTTTGATATCAGCATGAGCCTAATGACTGATTGTAAATCAGATTTGTCCCCTTTGTTAAGGCTTGGAGACAAATGTCTAGACAATTCTGGTAAGCAAACATGTATATTACAGTACTGATTTTTAACAGGATTGCAGTTTTAGCATATTACATACTTGTCAGGTGTTTTATAGGCAGTGCCTCCTCAGATAAATTCTTAGTGTCATTTAATATTTCCTAAACGTTAGTAATTCTTTATATCATTAATTCTGCACTTGTACATCACAGCTCAATACTGGAGTGATACCCAACACACGAGATTTCTTTTTACAGCCTTCACAACACCAACTCCAAGTGGAACTTACACCTACAAAGTTAACCGCTAAGAGCAGAACTTAGAGAATAGAGAAACAGGGCTCTAACGTTTGGCATCATGCCAAATATATTTCTACACACAAGCCACTGCTGCAATGGTTTTGTGCAGATGCTCCCATAATAAAGTCATTCAGAAGCCACTGCTGATTAAAAAGCCGGGTATAAAGGACCTCACAGGAGGCTGCAAGTGTCCGGCTGCTGTTTACCATCCAGACACTGGGAAGACCCACTACACATTTGTACTTTGCTAAGCAGCTTCCGCCTCCCGTTCGTGGGAGATGGCCTTGCACTTACCATGTCTGGAGTTCTGACGTTGCCGAGCTCCCCTCACAACACCCAGCAGACACACTCAGAATGTTTCACCCAGAAACACTCATGCCGGCTGAGTTACAGAAAAAAACTCGCGGGCTTGTTACCCGGAAGTGCCGCCTCGTCTTTGGACTTGCGGTCCATGTGGAGGTTCTGATTGGCTAGTACGACTTGAGTGACATAATAACCACTCTTAGGGTTAGAGTGTCTTAAAGAGACACAGCACAGTGGTTCCAGCTTTGCCCAATAATTTTCCAGATCTGTAGACCTGAAGTTCAGTAGCACAAGTGCCTCTCCTCCAATAGCTTATTTGTCCTCCCATCCAGCTCCTGGGAGAAAGTAAGCTTTCACATCCCTGCTTCTCAATTGCCTGCTTCTACTCATGTGGGCAGTGACACCTTGTTCATTGCTTTGCAAATGTGGAGCTTTCCTGAACTCCCATCACAGCACTCAGGAGGTACTTCCTCCTCATCCTGCTGGATTCACAATGGATGATTCTCACAGTCTATAAATCTTGTAATAAGTCTGTAAAAATTGTAAAGGTACAGTGGAGTTACTAATCTCTCCCACAAGTGGACAGGTGCCCACAATATTAAAAATTAAGAACGATTTTAGAAAACTTTTTTTTTCATTTTCTTTCTTTCTTTTCTCCCCCCCCCCCCTTCAGGCTGGGTTCAGGTAAACTGCAAGTACTTTTCACCTGATCTGTATGAGACGAACCTCAGAGGAAAGAGGGAAATAAGTGACAGACACCTTGGGGCACTCTTCTTAATCAGTTGAAATTCCTCAGTGTATCTGGAAAATGAAAATAGCAACAACAACAAAAAATCCACAGGAATATTATATACAGTAAAGTTTCTCCAGATGACTAGAGCTGATAGAATGAGTCTCTGTTATGTAGAAAATGCATTGATTAGATGGCTCACAGGCTGCGGTTCAACTAGTCTAACAATGGCTGTCTACAAATTTAAAGATTAAGAATCCAATAGTGGTTCAGTCCATGTGGCCGGATGTCTGAGCTGGTCTTCAATATACACCCTAATTTTGTAAGATAAGCGCTATTGCCAGAAAATAAAACAAATAAACAATGACAACAACAAAAAATTGCTAACCAGAGGTAGGGAATAAGACAAAGAGAAAGAGCTACCATCTTCAATGTCCTTTATATATGTAGGCTGTCACCACGAAGAGTGGCCTAGGTGAAAGGTGGATCTTATTACCCCAAATGACCCAATTTAAAAATATTTTCCCCAGTTCAAAAACTTTAATTACGAAAAATCCTGCAAAGTACCCAACTCTTTGAATTTTATTTAATTCCAGATGTGTTCCATTTGAGTACCAAGAATAGCTAGCACAGCAGACAACACAGAACAGCTGGGGAAGATTTTTTTCTGTATCAGGTAAAGAGAGCATAGGAGCCATTTCCAAAGCAATGCCTTTCTTCAAGAAAGAGAGCATTGAGATTTTACTTTGGTATTCTAGATACATTTACACATAGGTTTGCCTACTCCTATGAATGTTAAGTTAAATCCTTTTCTGAACATGATCAAATGTAAAAGCTGAGATATTTAAGGGGATTCTTATCTCAAAGTCATCCAGAAATATATGTAAATAGTAAAAATGGTGGACAGAAATGCATATAGAAAGTTCATCTTGTATTACAAGATCTTAGCTGAAAATCAAGGGACAGCTGAGAGCTCATAGTTTGAATTTCAGAAAAAACAGAGTTAGTAATATGGGCATGATCAGAAGATATTAAAGCCTGAAAATGCACCCATGTGTCACACTTCTTCCAAAAGAGCCACACCTGTGCTGCTTCCCAAATAGTTCCACAAATTAGGAAGTATTCGAACATATGAGTCTGTGGGAGCCATTCTCATTTCACTTCCACATGTTTCCTGAAAAGTGAAAACAACATTTTATCTGATTTCACGGTACCATATCCTTAAGAGAGACTCTTATGTTTTCAACCTACAATGTTAAAAATGAAACATTCCTTACCAGAAAGAATCCCAGCATTGTAAAGAATGAACAGACCAAATGAGACAAAATTCAACAGGGATAATATCACAACTTATAGCTTCTTGTTCAGCAACTTGAGATTATGATGAAATTGCCTTAACCACAAGGTCTTAGGTATTCCCAGTGTTCCTGCTCTGTCACCTGAAGCACACACAGCTTCATTTCCAGAAACTCCACTATCTTCCTGCACCTTTTCTCAAAGCTGCTCTTTGTATCTCAAGTCTGTTATGTCTAGTATTCTCTTTTATTTTATTGAAAGTGGGTGAGAGGGCTACAGGGATCACTCAGTTGTCAAGAGCACTGTTCAATCCCTTTTCATTTCCTAGCACTCCAATGGCAGTTCACAAGCCACACTTCTATCAAATAGTTGGGTATAAGCTGGTACCTGGCATTGACTTGGATGGTTACATAAATGAGACATTTTCTGTAAGTCCTGACATCTAGATTTAAAAATTAGTGATATCACAGGTATACCTCTGTTGCCAAGGATCAAGCCTGGGCTTGGAGCGGGGAAGAGAGAGAAGAGGTATCTGGGAGCAGAGAAACAAAGACTGGCAGTTACATTGTCAGTTCAAGCTATCCATCTATGCTCTGTGGAGACAGCTTTCCAGCCGGCTTTCCCTATGTTCTGCTTTCTCTCTGATCTGTTTTCTCTGGAGAGCTCCAGACAGCTCTCTGTCTATGTTCTGCTAGAGACTGTTCACCAAGCAGTTCTCTCCTGCCATTCTTAAAAAGTCACTCGATAGCTCCTCTTTTGCATACCACTGAACCCAGTCACTTACTCCTTTTGATTAGCCTCCCCTGCCCACAGGCCCTTAATTCTTAGGAGACAGCAAGCACACCTTTTCTTTTAACTTTGCAAAAGCATTCAAGTTACTTTCCTGCCTCTGTTAAACACAAATGCTAAGGTACCTGGGTGGGACCCAGTCCTGAAATTACCATTTCTACCACACCTGGGCCTAAAGTTGCTCTGTCTCAGGCTGATCCTGAAATCAGTAATCTGTCAGCCTTTCTAAGCATGAACAACAACAACAACAACAACAAAATAACCATTAGTTGAGTGGGTTCTCCTTTGAACACCACTCCCCACATCTCTCTTTTTTTATTAACAGATCTTGCCTCAAGTTTATTTGTAACATCATAGGACACTAGACATCTGCAAATAGTGTGTGGGTAGGTGTGTCAGAGCAGTCCATCTGTCTTCAGGTTGGCAGGAAGCTTTTCTATGGGCCCTTCACAGGGGCCTCAGCACCGTTGGGACCCTGGGCTGGATCAGAAACCTGAGCCTTAGCTGGAGCTTTGGCCTCTACCTTTGTTTGAAGCTTGGGCTTTGGTTGGCAGAGTCTATGCCCCTTGGCCATATAGCTACAAATCCACTTCCCAAGCATATGGTGAGCAATGAGAGCCAGACAGCTGAGTTTGTAGCTGGGACCTTTTGGCATCTTGAGCTTGATGGCCTGAGGATTCACAAGGGCCTTGATGGCCTCTGCACAGGCACTCACTGCCTTTTCGTTGTTGGGTGCATTTTCCTCAGGTTTTTCTTGTTGTGCTTCTTGCCAAAGCACATGTTCCTCAGGAACTTGAGGTCAACCCCCTCAAGAAATTGGTATCTTTGTGACTGGGGTTTCTTGATGCCATTTCTGTGCCATTTGTAGGACTGGTTTTGTGTGGTCTGATTCTTGGACTTGGCCATGTCTATGTGGTAACCGGAGTCTCCCACAGCACCTGGGCCCAGAAGAGCTCCACACATCCCTTTATCTCCTTCCTTAGTATCTTTCTGAGAAGTTGACTTACAATACACCTCCTTTTGTTCCTTTATACTCCTGAAGTTCCTCATAATTTATATTACATCATTATTTATTGAGAAAAAAATTTTTGAACCCATGTTTTTACAGGTCTTTCCAGAGCTTTAAGGGCTATCCTGAAGTTTGCAGTGTTTACCATTTTGCTGAGACATTAGCCACACCTTTGCCTCTAGGGCTTGTACTGTCTCTGATCCACATGGAGTCATTAACGTTGACAGTGAGCACATTCCTTAAAGGAGGAATGCAAAATATTATGTACATTAGTTTGCAAACAAACTTTATTCTCATAGCTGCCATTGACACTTTTGAAGGCCCACATTCATTGTTCCTGTTCTAGGGGAAGAAGCATGTCATTCTGTCCCCACCATGTCCATGGTGTACCAGGCTCTCTGTCCTAAAAGGGAATATAAAAAGATTGTTTGGTGATTACTGTCCTTAACAGTCAGTTGCAACATGTGATATAAAGAATGAAAGAATATTCTAGTAGTTTATATATTCAGGGGAAATATTTCATTATGGTAGGCAACTTTGAGGACAATGTTGGGAATCTAGCTTGATAATTGGGTAACAGGTCAAGAATTAGTTAGCAAATAAAAACATAAAATGGCTATTAAACTTCAGTGCTTGACAGCAATACATTTCTCAAAGGAGGCTCCATTCCTTATAAGCTGCATACATCTGCAAAATGATTGCACACAGTTATTTTGGGATCCATGATTCTTGAAACATATGAACTCTGGAGGATTGAGTGGCCAAAGGTACACCATCTTGTGATCGGCCTCCATCTTAAAGAAAAGAAGAAAATGCTGAGAATGTGACATGCAATACAACACAAGCTGTACCCATATACCAGAAGGGACCTTACTGCTTTTCCTTGGTCAGAGTTACTCTCTAACTATTTCCTAGCAACAGTTGATTAAAGATTAGTGTGATTGTTTCTGATATACTTTCAGATCATTTGTAATTTTATATGGTCTTGCTTCAGAACACCTACCTTTTGGCTCATGTCATTCTATTAAATGGCTCACAGGTGGCAGTTCAACTAGTCCAACAATGGCAGTCTACCAATGGAAAGATGTAGAATCAAATAGTGGTTCAGTCCATGTGGCTAGATGTATTGGCTGGTCTTCAGTATATACCTGAATTTTGAAAAATTGGTTCTAATGCAAAAAATACAAAAAATATCAAACAAATAAACTGACAAATGACAACAAAATTCACTATGCAGTGGTAGGGCAATAAGACAAAGAGAAAGAATTACCATC